AAAACAGACAGATATCGCGTGTTGCCAAAAACGGGACGGAACCGCATTTGTTTAAATACACACATTTTATGCAGTTCAAGCAGTAACCGGGATGTTACTATATTCGAAAGCGACGTGTGAAGGAAAATGCAACCATCTCGATATAAATCTACAAAAAATGCTTGCTTAATCGCTTAAAGTTTTCAGCAAGTTCATGATCCGTTTCTTACCTCAATTTACACACTGATACGAGGAGAGGTTCTTCGCATGAAGTTCTGTTCTTCTTCTTCTTCTTCTTCGCATTTCAAGCTTATTGCATATCGCATATTAGCTTATTGCGTGCTCTCAACTTAGTGTTCTAGATGCACTTCCACAGTTATTAATTGAGAGCTTTCGATGCCTGTACCATTTTTGCATTGGTATAATTGATAATCATACTTCTATGCCCAGGGAAGTCGAGAAATTTTCCAACCCGAAAAATTCCTAAACCGGACCGGGAATTGAACCCAGCCACCTCCAGCATGGTCTTGCTTTGTAGCTGCGCCTTTACCGGCTGAGCTAAGGGAGGCCCCCGTACGTATTAGCAACTCATTAAATGATAAATTCATAAATTAATAATACAAAAATAGCTAATATGCGATATGCAATAAGCTTGAAATGCGAAGAAGAAGAAGAAGAAGTAATATGTAAATTTATTTCTTTTTAGTTATTTAATATTTGCCCCTTCTCAACCTAATTGAGTAATGTCGGACATAGAATGAAAATATTATGTGCATCATCCTTTAACCTTTGGGTCCCATCTCATTGCTCAATTCCGGGTAATGAGAAAGCGGACTCGCTAGCTAAGGTGGGCGCTATGGAAGGCGATATTTTTGACCGACAAATCGCCTTTGCGGAATTTTTCTCAATTACCCGTCAGCACGTCCTCACCAACTGGCAACAAAAATGGAATGAGAGTGATCTGGGAAGATGGTTACATTCTATTCTCCCACAGGTGTCGAACAAGCCATGGTTCAAAGGATTGGACATGAGCCGTGACTTTATACGGGTCATATCAAGGCTCATGTCCAATCACTACTCGTTAGACTCGCATTTCTTCCGAATCGGGCTCGCAGGCAGCAATTTGTGCGCTTGTGGTAGTGGCTATCACGATATCGACCACGTGCTTTGGTCATGCACTTTACATTGTGTTGCTAGATCCGAGTTATCCGCATCCCTCAGGGCCCGAGGAAAACAACCTTTGCGGCCCGTTAGAGACATCTTGGCGAGCCGAGATCTCGAATATTTTAATTTAATTTATGTGTTTTTAAAACGGATCGATCTGAGGATTTAGTAGTTAGTGTCATCTTGTGTTCCCCCAAGTTGTTAGCTGCCCATCGGTGTACCCCCATGTTTGTCTTTTTCATCAGTTGGTCGCTTAGTTCGAGATCAAGAGCACATTGCTCTCCAAACCTTGTGTTCTCAATCCCTACCCTGCCATCCATTTGTTAAAATGTGTTACCCCTAACCTCGAGATAGCCGCGAGTAATCGGCCCCCGCTTTACTAACGTTAGCTTTAAGAAACTTTGTAATCTAAACAATGAATATCGGCTCCGCAAAGCTACGGCAAATGAGCCTGGAAAAATAAACGCATTATAAAAAAAAAAATCCTTTAACCTTATGATTACCTAATAAAATCAAATAATAATAACAAGACAAATGTTGACAATTTTTAGACAATCAATTTTAAAGACCTCGGATATAGAAGCTTTTGAAACACCTCAAATTTTCATAGCTACAAGACCTACCATTTTTTTCTAGATAGCGGTCCAAGAAGAAATTTCATTATTCTGGAACGAGGAATTTTTTTTTTAAGATGGAAAGATCGTGAATGCACACGGCAAATTAATCTGACTCATATTTGAGTCAAGTTCACTTAAATTGGCAAAAACGTAGGTCACGAGAATGAGTTATTTTTTACTCTAAGATGCGTAAATGTTACTCATATATAAATAAATGTCATTCAAATATCAGTTATGTTTGCTCATATTTGAGTAAAAATTAACTCAGATATGAGCCAGATTTATTTGCCGTGTAGAATATTTTGCATGCGTCTCGGACTTAATATCTGGAAATCGAAAAAAAGAAGGATTCCGGGAAAATTTTTAGAGATTTTGGACCAATTTTTCAATGCTGGGACTTAAGCATTCGAAATCTCTAAGACAAACAAGTTAAGAAACGGCCCGGAATAATTATCATATTTTGAATATGTATATGGAATGTAAGTTGACAGCCCTTACAAAAAAATTAAATACTTCTGAAGCGTGAATAACATTTCATGATCTCGGACATAGATTTTTTTTCTAAAATCTAGTCTTGGAAATGTTTGGACGAATATTAAAGCTACCGAGCTTTAAAGATTTTTCAAAATTATAGTCTTTGAAAGAATGATTCCATCAGCACCAATTAGACAGTTCTGGTCTGTTCAGAACTCTTCTTTGTCGGACTTTACACACTGATTTCTAATGAATCTTTTTAACACAAATTTGTTACTAAATCAAGCTGTTACTTGATGTGATTTTTTTAAGGCAAATAATTTACTCTTGCCATTATTTGTCGTAAAAAGAGACTTTAGTGACTAAATTTTAAGAAGTATTGACTTTAGTGACTTTTTAGTGACTGACTTGAAAATAGTGACTAAGTCACTAAAAAGTGACCTGCTACCAACCTTGCTATGGAGACAAATTAAAGCAAATGCCCGTGATAGTTATAAAGAATACGAAGATAAATGTAGAATGAATTTCCAGAGTAATCTGAAGGAGAATCCTTAACTGTTCTGCACAGAATGCACAGAATTTTGAATAAGTTATGGAGAAACTTTCTAGTAAATACCAGAAAGAATCATAAAATTAGTAAGGGGAATCCTGAAAATAACACTTATGCTAAGGGCCACGATTCAAATCTTCAGACAAATCACGAAGGACCCAACATGTATTAAAGTGACTATAATATTAAAAATCTTTGAAAACATTTTAAAATTATCCTAAGCAAATCTCTGACAAATTTCTGAAGATATCTTGTGATAAGTTCCAAAGATATAATTTAGTTTATTCAGGCGTTAAACATTTTACAAAGTCGCATATACATAAATTAAAGTCTTCTAATGACAAGACAGATGACAGGCACTACGAATGTTTCGTAAAATTTTCGAAAAGTATGTTTTAACTACGAAACCCATTTACTGCCTAGAATCGCATATAAGTCCCATTTGGATTTTTTTTTTTTCAATTTTAAAATAACAACGCTCTCCACTATTAATTGGCATCTACTTTCATATTATGTCATGAAACTACGGACTTTGATCGTGAAAAAGGTAAAAACAACATCAAGTCAGTTTGTCCCATCAAGCAAAGTAATCGCATATCAGTCCCATTCTGAAAATCCACCGTCCCGAAGTCAAGATACAGTTCTGCTTTTGGATTACCATGTTTTTCGCTGATAAATCAAAACATGCAAAATTCACTGCAATTGCTTATAACTCGAAAAAATATCAATAAATTTTCCTAAATTTTTAAAGTATTTACAAGAAAATTGCACTTTGAAACTTCGACAGCCATTTTCTCAATGTCTACTTTTTGCGTATGGGAATGATATGCGATTGTATGCAGTTTACACGAAACGAGCGAACAAAATTGTCTAGTGAAAGCACGCAGAATGAAAACAAACAAAATGTGGGCCGTGTTAAGATTCGAAAAATTGACGGCCACATTCACTATTTAATTTACTGACTTTTAAAAAGTTTACTGATTCGCTTCATCTTCAACCAACGACGAAAACAGTAGCCCCATTTTTGCTCCTCGTAGCAAATTGGTCCATTATTATCAGCACAAGCACATCGTAGAAAGTTCTCCCTTCGGCTTTGCTAAAATAAAAAAAAACACAAAAACAGGAATTCACGGACCCTTTTCTATCGCACAAAACAAAAACAGCATTTCGGAGGGTTACTGAATAAGCGATAACAAACACGAAAAACGATACACCAGGTTCAAATGTGTTCGGTAGAAACTCCGGGAGGTGGGTATTGTTTTGCTTTAACGACTAAAAAAAAACCGCAGAAACTCGGAATGGATGTTTTTTGTTTTGTTCGATTCCCAACGTGGTAGCAAATTGTAGTGAAAACTTTCGAAACTAATAGGAGTTTTGAAGTTTAGTTCAGTGACTGAGCGTTAATTTCTCCAATTAGAAGGAAACTCTTCAACGTTGAAACTGCACTTTAAGTCTCAATTGAAAATCCTTAAATCCCATTGAAGTCACTCTGCTGGCACTGAGTGCACTATAATCCCCAAATGAGTCCCCTCGACCAACATAAACTTGCAGCCAATTCCATCTCATCGTCAGAACATTTCAATTAGCTACCTCAACCCAAAGTGAATCGATCGGTTTTGTCGAATCCGACCAGCAATCGAACAAGTTTACTTCATCAAACCACACTGGAAACATCAAAGTCATCCCACCGAATAGAGCCGCACTTCCAAATCACGAAATGCACTCCATCATGACGACGTCGGGAGTAGTTGCAGGAAAACCGTTGGCAAACTAATTTCCCCTTTAATTAATTGCCCCGGTTTGCAGACCACCGACCGATCGCTCTTCATTACAGTCAGTTTTCGCCAAAAGACATTAATTTTCCCCACGCCCCAGCCTCCCTCGGCAACCGAGCTGCTTTTTTCGACTATATATTCATTAGTATACCACTAATTATCCCAGAACCCCAGAAACCCTGCACTGCCCACACATTATTTTCGTTACAACAACAACGGAGCAAACCATGACCTATGCGACTCGTTCGTTGGTTTCGCCCTTTTGTTTTTGTTATTGTTATGCAAAGTAGTGAATTGATAATGATGTGCTATTTCTAGCGAATAATGCTTAAATCATCAACAAAAGTCACCCCCCTTCCGGTTGTTCATATTTCTTTCACCAAATAAAAATAAAAAAACTACACTTTAAAGTAAGGGCTGCCGAGCACCCCGCGTACTTACACGTAAAATCACTAACACAGACGAACACGTTTTGCACTGGAAACACTTTTCTTTCTCGGGCACAGCATCACACAGCATATTTCTCTCCTCCACCAGCACAGTGAGATTTTCCTCTTGCTTTTCTTTTTTCGGCATCAGCCACTGGACCAATCTTCACTGCTGCTGCCAGATTGCTGCTGTAACACTAACACACATTTCGATTTTCTTATTGGAACTCTTTTGTTTTGCAAGGTTGTTTGGTGGTGTTTTGAACTACTTCAAGGTTTAGTTTAACAACATCTTCCGATCAAACTAACATAGAAAGCAACACTGATCCTTATCTAGTAACCATATGCTGATGCGGAAGAATTTTGCCTACATTTTTTGACTATTCAACAGAACTCGCTCTCAGAAGGCTGCGGCCACTCGCGCACACACACACTCGCAAATAGGCACACGGGTTCACGCTCGACTCTTGCTGCTGCTGCTGCTGCGGCTACTGCTACTAGAATATGCTCGACGATGTATGCAAACCAAAAACAAAACACTGGATAACTGGAACAACGAAATGTCAACGAAATTTGCCACTTTGTTCAGTCAAGTTCCAGCTGTGCTACAATCTTGCCCAGCTCCGGGTGTTTTCCTCTCAGCTCTCCAGACTGTAAACAAACACTTGTCAGCCCCGGATTGCTTCGACATGCAGCGGAATCACTTTCTGTTCGGATCAGAACTTCTCCAATTTCGCCAAACTTGGGCTGACCTTCTTCCACAGCAGTCCGGATTCCCACCGGACAAGTTTCTTTCTAATTAGACACCTGTCTTATCACACACCGTTCAGCATCTTGTCTTCCGGGTCACACAATCGAATTTAAACTTTCCGAGTCCCGCACGTTCGGTAATTCGATTATCACTCACTTCGTTGACTCGAGTGTCATTCCGACAAAAAACCACGGCAGCAGCCAGTTCTTGTTCCCTGATGCTGCTGCTGACAGGTGGACCAGAATCTCCTTCTGAAGAAATCTTGTATTTTTTTTTCCAGGTTCAAGCTGGCTGTCAGTCAGTCACATCCACACACAGGTCACTGGTTCTGGTGATTCTCTGCAGACTGTTTTCTATGCCGACGTCGCGTTTCTCTCATTCGTCCGCAGGTGCTCCGGCTCGGTATATGCTCTCACCACCACTGCAGCAGCGCGATCAAAGTATGCTTTTATGCTACACACAGCAGAACACGAAACGCGTTTCCAACTGGAATCGCACCCGTCACCCAAGCGTCACCGGGTACACTTCAACTTCGCATTACCGTCGAATCCAGCTTTAAACCTTTAGTTCAACCCTTTTTAAAACTGATAGGTCTTATCAAGTCAAAACCGGACAAAAAGTTAGAGGACCGCAGTAACGAAAAACCGTCGTCCAACGTGATCGAGATCGCGTGCGTTCGCCATTGTAGATACCGAGAGACTGAAGCGGCGAGCGTCACATGATTGTACTTTTGACTTTCGGTCGGTTGGATTCTGCCACGGAAGGCCCTAGGATGCAGTTTTCCCGAAGAAAGGATACTCCGATGGGAGAATATGGGAGCATGAGAAAATTGCTATGTTGCGAGAAGCGAGAAGGAGCGCGAGAGAAAGAGAGTGGGTGTTGGGCGCATGTGCTGATAAGGTTGTTTTGGTCTGGAGTGTTGTGCTCGTGCACAGGATACTGGTGCTGGCAGTTTTTGACGTAACTATGTGGAGTTAACGTCAAAGCAAGAAACTTGTTGACATGGTGAAAAAGCAAGATTTTCAGTTCGAAGGTGGATGATAGCCGGCGCTGGTGCAGTAGTGGTAAGCGTGATTGCTTTCTCAGCCCAATGGGTCTAGGTTCAATCTCAGCCGAGGTTGTTTGGATTTTTCTGAGGCATAAAAATCTCTGGTCACGTCTTCCTTCGGAAGGGAAGTGAAACCGTTGGTCCCGGCCCATGTGTGTTGTGAATGGGTGCGGTATCCTCACAGGACTGCAACGCCTGTCATCCAGCGTTGCTACATTGTTTTCAATATTATCAGTCACAAATGTTTTAAAAAATCGGTATTTAGCGGTATTTTAGTTTTAAACTTAATTTCATATTTTTGCCGTTATTGAAGGCGAAAATTCAAACATTTGGACTTAGCATGAAAATTTTGCTTTCCAGGAAAAGTCGGAAGAAATTTCCGGGGAATGTTTAAATTACACACTTAAATTTTTTAGACAAGATTCCAATAACCGAGTAGTTCTGCAATTTTTTTTTTGCTGAGATTCAGTAAAACAATTGCCGAGACTTTAGCTAACAAATAGATATTTTGCAGAGATATCAGCAAAAGTAAATCGGCTGTTGGATATTTTACCGAGTGAGATTGTAGTTTCTGAAGAAAGCCGAAAAAATTCCAGACAATGAATAAATAAGCTCTTTTGGAGGAAGTTTGAAGAAGTTCTAAGATATGTCGGAAAAACATCCGTGGAACTACCGAGACAAATATTGAGAAACTTTTGACGAAAATTAAAAGAAGTGTTCGGAAAAAAAATCGGATGACACATCCATAGGAAACCAGAAAATTATCTGAATTCGGAAACAAATTCCAGGAGTAGTCATTTCCAGGGGGAGCTCAGAAGAAGCTCCCAAAAACTTTCTATTAGAAATCGAAAAAAAAAAAAACTCGCTTATGGAGAAACTTCCAGAAGAAGGAGAAAGAAATGTCTGGGAGAATTCTACAGATACATTCGATAGAAGTTTAATTGAACCTTTTTGAGAAGACGGATGAAACTTCCTAGTGACGCTGGGAAACGTCATATAGGAAGATTGGAATAAACTTTTGGACAAAGCCGGAAGCCAGAGGGACAATCGAAAGAAGTTTCAAGGAGAAGTTGGGAATACGCCGGAAGAAAGACCCAAGTAACCAAAAGTTCTGATAAAAGGCCATTTGTGGCTTAAGCAGCTTAGTTGGTGATGGTCTTTAGAATTCTAAGCAGCCTCATTTTTAAGTCATTATAAGAACTTGAAAGTTCCGGTATCATAATTGAAGAGCATTCTAAGCAGCTTCTGGCGGAACTTGAACGGAACTTTTAGAAAATAAATTAAAAAAGGTTTCTTTTCCTCTACACCAATTCTATGCTTAGTTCGCACTTTTATGAAAGTTATTTCTAAAGGCAGGTATTAATGTGTATTGATATATCAGCATTAGTAGTAGAATTGGAGCTGTTTGAAGAATTAAACCCAGTCCTTCTGCGTGAGAGCCCCAGCACGAACCGCTGCGTCATCTGAAATATATTAAAGTGAGCTGTTGTCCCGCCTACTGTTGGAGTTTTCATTGCCAGCTGACTGACTTGCATACGAAACACAACACCTTGATGAATTTTAAATTTGCCCGCATGGTATTCCAACACATTTGTGGCGCAGTGGTTAGCGTTAGTAGATCGCATGCCGAATACACGGGTTCGAATCCAGGAAATTACTTTTTAATTATTTTTTATGTTATGTTTATGTATAAGAATTATGATTTATTCAGGCCACTGATCATTTAATATTTACGTACATTAAATTGTGTTAATAATAAAGACTTGTGCAGATTGCTTCATGTGGCTTGAAAGTTCTGTCGGAACTTTAGTTGAACTTTATGGAACTTGAAAGTTCTGTCGGAACTTTATTTGTACTTTATGGAACTTGAAAGTTCTGTCGGAACTTTATTTGAACTTTATGGAACTTGAAAGTTCTGTCGAAACTTTATTTGAACTTTATGGAACTTGAAAGTTCTGTCGGAACTTTATTTGAACTTTATGGAACTTGAAAGTTCTGTCGGAACTGTATTTGAACTTTATGGAACTTGAAGGTTCGGTCGGAACTTTATTTGAACTTTACGGAACTTGAAAGTGATTTTAATCGTTGAATGCGGAACTTTTGGTTACTTGGGGAGATTTCTTGGGGATGTTCGAACAACATTCCATGAAATTCCTTTCATGCTCTAATGATTCAGAAATTTTCCTTATATTCATACACCATCCCTGACGACCCCTCAATGTACCTTAAGTTTACGAAATGTTAACAAAGTAGGCGTTGGATTGCTGTCTTGAACACTCCAATCAATTTTCTAGCGTTATTCCATATCAAGACACTGAAGAGAGCAGTCATACCAAGATAACTTTATCGTTAATACTTAACTTGTTCATTGTTAAGTGTTGTCCTGGTTATTTCCTGTCCGCCCCATCCGCACCGTATTCCTTTAGGTTATGGGCTCGTCTACGAAGGAAGGCTCTGGAATTCCGCAGCTAAACGGATCTAACTTTGAGAACTGGCGTTTTCGCGTTCAACTCTACCTGGATGCGGCGGAAGTTTCAGAAGCGCTTACGGGGCAAGTTCCTGGTGCAACGGATGTTGGAAGAGCGAAGTTTATGCAGACAGATCGGAAAGCGAAGTCACTACTGGTCGGATTCCTTTCCGATGAATGTCTTGGCATAGTACGGGACAAGGAGACGGCTCGCGATATGTGGAAGGCACTCGAAGACACCTTCGCGAAGAAGTCTGTGGCAAGTCAGACTCTGTTACGGAAGCAACTGGCAAGACTTCGGATGAAGGAGGGTACTTCAATGCGGCATCATTTCCAGCAGTTCGACGACATCGTACGGCAGCTCAAGACCGCTGGTGCGAAATTGGAGGAGAACGATACGGTATCACAGTTATTTTTGGCCCTTCCCGACAGCTACGACTCCATGGTAACAGCTTTAGAGAATATAAACAAAAAGGACCTGATGTTGGAAACCGTGAAGCAACGATTGTTGGCGGAGGAATCAAAGCGGTCTGATCGGATGGAAGATTCTTGTGAAGATAGGAGTGCAGCGTTTGTCGGAGGACGAAATAAGAAGACCAAAAAGTTTACCGGAAAATGCCATCGTTGCGGAAAGGTGGGACATATGCAAAAAGATTGCTATGTTAAGAAGCCAGAAGGTAAGCTGAATGCGGCCGTTAACAGCAAATCAGTTTCATTCATGGTGAACAAGATGCCGACGAAGACGGAACATAAGAGGTCAGTTTTCGTTGTGGATTCTGGATGCAGCGACCATCTGGTGAACACTTTGGAATGCATGCAGTCGGTGAGGAAACTCAAACAACCGTTCGTGATCGATGTAGCCAAAGATGGTGTTTCAATTATCGGAAACTACGAAGGTGAAGTTACTGGACTATCAAGAGAAGGTGTGAAGTTTGAAATGAAAAATGTGATTTTCGTGCCCGAGCTGAGAGGAAACCTGCGATCCGTGAAGAAGATGTCCCAAGCGGGAATCGACAGCATCAAGCGATGATGAAAAAGAATGACTCAGTAATTGGAGTAGAGCATCTACGAGGTAATTTGTACGAATTGGATTTAAACTTGGACGTGTCAGGAGCTACCGCAAATCTATGCGCATCGGACGCTGGAAAACTCTGGCATCGTCGTTTGGGTCACGCCAGTCAGACCACGATGAACATGTTGGCCCGGTATAGTGTGGCGGAAGGATTTGGTCCGAAGGTCAATGCTATCGGGTTCTGTGACACTTGCGTGCTCGGTAAGCAATGCAGAGAACCCTTCGACGGAACTCGTGAAAGAGCTAGTCGTCTACTAGAGCGGATTCACTCGGACGTGTGTGGACCAATCAATTCTCCGGCCTGGGATGGATCGAAGTATTTTGTTTCATTCATCGACGATTATAGTCACTTTGCGTGTATCTATGTGATGAAGAAGAAGTCCGAGGTTTTTGGTCGTTTTCAAGAATACGAAGCGATGGTGACCGCCCAGTTCGAAAAACGAATCAGCAAGCTAACCGTGGATCAAGGGCGTGAGTACGGCTCTAAGGAACAAGAAGCATTCTACAAGCGAAAGGGGATTCAAATCCAGCCAACCGTAGCATATTCTCCGCAACAGAACGGAGTTGCCGAGAGGTTCAATCGAACGCTAATTGAAAAGGTAAGGACAATGCTGATCGACTCGAATCTGCCCAAGTACATGTGGTCGGAAGCAGTGCTTACCGGTACGTATATATTAAATCGTTGCCCTACTGCTGCTCTATCGGACAACCGTACGCCTGCTGAGTATTGGACCGGTGTAAAACCTGATCTATCGAAATTGAGGATTTTCGGATGCAAAGCATTTGCATGGTGTCGTATCCTTCCGAGCCGTCGTCCTCCATTTTCTTTCCATTCATTCACACTTCAGCAAAGAACATCTATCACGCACAAACTTAGCAAAGTGAATGGTGAACCGTTGCGCCATTTCCGCTTCGCAGTTTCCAGTGTCACAGTATTAGTAAGCTATCCTTTCTGCAAACGTTCTCACTCACAGACACACACTCACCAATCATTTTAGCACAGCAGGTCTGTGCTATATCGATATACACCTAAAACTAAACCTAAACAGGGATGAACGATAGGCAGACAAGGCTTATGTAAAAGATAA